GGGCTGGGGATGTAATTTAGTGCAGAGGTCCTGGCCTCAATCCCCAGTACTACACAAAAAAATAAATGCAGAGTTGAATCTCTTTTAATACTCTTCCAGAACCCCATGTTTAGATGTCCATCCAGAAAAGGAGGTTCATTCTAGATCCTAGAACCAACCTTTCATTTTACCTACACTCCCTTGAGTGAACAAATTAGTGGTGGGCCCTGGGTATGGGAGAGCTGTAGAATAAAAACATCACTGACGTCGTATACTCAGTGAAATATTCTTAGTCACATTCTATGTGCTGTTTTTGCTTAAGACGTTTGTTGTGTTTTGTTTTTTGCCTGCCTTTCATACTATTGTAATGCCTAAATTTATGAAATACACGAAGGATTTGAATATGTAATTTGAGAGGTACATGAAGATGAATGTCAGCATTTTGTTCTTTGACAGTTTCTAGAATATTGGAGTTTTATGTATGGCCACATTTTAGATCCTTATGGTTTATTTATTTTCCTTATGGTTTTATTTTGTTTTGTCTAATTGACTTTTTCTGCCACTACTAAGGCTTTCCTCTGTTGCTGCCATCCCATTCACTGTCTGAAAGGACCTTTGTGATCCCTGGGGGCTTTAATGTGCCATTTGTTTTTGTTCATGCTCTTCTTTGCCAGCAACAGCCATCATTCAGGTTGAAGACCAGAATACAGGTGCAATTGAGAACATTATAGTTGAAGTCAAAAAAGAGCCAGACGCTGAGCCTGTGGAGGGGGAAGAAGAAGAGGCCCAGCCAGCCACCACAGATGCCCCCAATGGGGACCTCACACCTGAGATGATCCTCAGCATGATGGACCGGTGATGATGGGGCTTGCTTGTCTCCAGGACTGCTTTGGGCTGTGTTTAAACGGCCCGAATCTTAATTTTTTTCCTTTCTTTCTTCTTTTGGCTTTGGGAAAGGCATTTTACACCATTTTACCAAACATACTGAGAAAGAAAACTTCAAAGATGATGTTAGAAAAATGTGATTTAACTAGAACTTGCTGTTTGCTGGTAGCAAATCATGGAATGTTCCTGAGTACCTGAGGGTTTACTTTGAAGTGCTGAGGACAATGTTCATGCCTAACTAGTTTTCTTAGAAGGAAACAGAGACATTGAGCCCTCTCTCTTGATTTAGTAAACCACTCCAGAATGGCCACGGGTTTCCCAGAGTTCTATGGTCTTCTTCCCAAGAGAGTTTTTAATTGTAAATGCAGACTTGGGAAGGACTTAGACTTTTAACCTGTTTTTTGCTTTTGCTTTTCCCTGACTCCCTTTGCTCGGAGTCAGCTGCACACCAGTAGTATGGCATGCTACGATCGATTTCTGTCCTGAAAGCTTTGCCTCTTTCTTGGCAAAGTTTCTGGTATGGTCAAGCTTGTAAATAACTTTTTTTACATTTTAATCTTTTCCATTAATTAAGAGTTTGAAAAGAAGTGCAGTGTAAGAAAACCCAGCATTTTAATTACTTGCAAATTAAGTAACCACGGACTTGGTGGTGTGTAAATGTTGACAAGGAGTTGGATCACAATCATGTAGCAGAAGAACACCCAGACTGCTGCCTGCTAGTGATGGACACCCATGTGGAAAGATGTGGTTTCCAGCCCATGGAGCCATTGAACCTTGTACAATTAACTATCAGTTATGATTTCCCATCGACATTTTCTTTGCTCTGTTTGTAGCTGAATGTTGTTTTATAAATCCTCTGTTAAAGCCAGAAGGATGATTATGAGTGGATCACAGCAGCCCTAACAAGTTGGGCCAGAAAATTTCACTAGGTCAGTAATTGAAACTCTGGATCTTCAAAAAAATAATAATAATAATGTGAAGAAAAACCAACTAAAAAGTGATTCTTGCACATGAACTGTCACATGTTTAAAATGTGTTTTTTAGAGCGCCTCAGTCTTACTGATTTCAAACACTTTCTTCTGTGTATTGCTTTTAAGAGAACCATCAGTTAGCTATCAGACTCTAGGTTGATGCATTTTGTACTTAGCTGTACTGTGTGATATTTTTCATTATTTTAGGACACCAACATGAGACCTGTAATAAAATATGTAATGGGGTTGAAAGCTGGGGAGGAGGATCTACTGCTGTACAGCTAATAAATCATAACGGATTAACAAGTGCTCTGAAGACTTCCTCTTACGTGATTTTTCCTGCTGTGGGCCCTGAAGGGCCTATGTGTGGCTCTAGGAACATGGGACAAGATGTATGCAGCTTTAGCTGCTTTACGGTCTCTGGTTAGCCAGGCCTCTGAGAAAATATAACCAAGCACTTTCTAAGTCTTGGGACTACAAGCCAGGCAGTCAGCCCCTTGGACTGCATGTTAGTGCCCTCAGCCTGGCAGAGCATGAATTCCATAGATTTGCTCCCTACCAGAATTGTTTCAATGGGCCATAACTTAAAAACTAGATGTATTTATAATTGAAAATCTCTTTGCAGAACACTGAAGCTAAATTATCTGCACCTTCAATGTAGCTTGTTTTCTGATGGTATATACTGAAATTGTTTGAAAGCTTTAAAGTGGTTTTATTTTGGCTGGGGTTTGGACAAGAGAAATGACATTCTAATGATCTGAGGTTTGAAAGGGATCCTCTGTTGCATAGCCTGTAATAGGGCCTGTGTGATTCCACTAAATACAAAATCTCCAGTAGCAAGAGCCAGCTGTTACTAATATTCCTCCACCCAACAGAACTCTGGATAGACAGTTACTGAACCTGTTTGCAGCTCCCTTCCTCAGTGTTAAGCCATAGTTGGTACTAAAGAGATACTAGGGATGGGGCATGTGGTTCAATAGTAGAGCACTTGCCTAGCATGTATGAGGCCCCAAGTTTAATCCCCAGCACTAAAAACCCTCCTTTTCCCACAGCTGGTCTGGCATCACCCCTGTCCAGTGCTACCCAGCTCAGCAAGCACCTGAGTGAGCCCTCATTGCTTTTGGGGAAATGGAAGTTACTGGAGATTGAACCCAAGGCCTTTGCAGTGATTATAATGATCTATTCAAATCCTGAGCCCTTTTTTTTTTTTTGGTACCCAGGGTCGAACTCTGGTCCTTGCGCTTTCGAGGCAGGCAGCAGAACCACTGAGCTAAATCCCTGGCCCCTGAGCCCTTTTTTAAGAAAAGGTCTTGCTAAGTTGCCCAAACTGGGCTTCAATTTGTATTCCTCCTGCCTCAGCCAACCAGAGTTCTGGGATTATAGGAATGTGCCTCCACATCCAGCTAACCACTTCTCTTAATAAAGATCACGTCCAATCCTATTTAAGGATTTAAGTACTGTATGTTGTTCTTTCTCTACTGTTAAAAAAAAAAAAAAGATAACACCAAAACAAAAAAATCATTAGACCAACACTCAGGTAAGTTAACCACTCCTCAGAAAATTAAGAAGTGGGGGATTTAGCTTAGTGGTGCCACACCTGCCTTTGCAAGGGTAAGGCCCTGAGTTCGATCCCCAGTGTGGTGGTGGGGGATTAGAAGAGCCAGGCGTAGTGGTGCATGCCTGTAATCCCAGCACTCAGCTGAGGCAGGAGGATCTCCAGAAGTTCAAGACCAGCGTGGGCTACATAGTGCATAAACCTTACGTAGTGAGACCTTGGCTCAAAAAACAAGACCAGAGAGTCTAAATAATTTGTTCATTATCAAAATTGTGCATGAGACCTGTTAAGCTGTCCACCTAAAAGTAGTTTGAGGGTTCCACATGGTCTTAAAGAGTTTAGGTCTAGGCTCTCAGAATGTTAGACAGCAAGGCCTCTCACCTCTGGTAACTGCTGAGTCTGCTCCAGCCAAATCCTCACTCTCAGCCTTTGGCTGTCACACCTGTGCCTGTTGCTTAGGCGGGGGAGGCTTTCTCCAAATTGCTACTGTTAAGTTTCTACTTTCCACCTGGTTCTAGTTTTTCAGGAGATCTCAGCAAGTGGGTATTTTTTTTTGAGGCACTGGGGATTGAACCTAGGTCTATATAAACTCTTCCAGTGTGCTGCTCCCCCAGCCCTGTTAAGAGACAAAATCTTAGGTTGCCCAGGCTGGCCCTGAGCCACTGGACTCAAGTGCTGCTCCTACCTCACCCTCCAAGTACCTGGGACATTATGGGAGGGTGAGGAATGGGCGGTGCCAGATGTCTGGGGTATCCTCCCACTGTCTCTGGAAGGAACAGCTAGAGATGGGAAAAACCAAAGGACCACTGCCCAGTATATGGTTTCTTCTACTTTACAGATCTGTGTCTGCATGAGCCTTGGGCAAGGTAGGAGGCTACTCCTTACCTCCTGAGTGGAATTTAACATTTGAAATGAAATGGAAGAAAGGAAGAAATAATCCCTTCCTGTGTGCTCTCCTGAATCAAAGTCCCCTGGTCTTTTTCAGGGCAGCAATTATCTGCCTGGCAGGCTCCACCGTCTGACTTTCCTGGCTCTCCCAGTCCTGGAGACACTAGCTTCCCTGTCAGTCGCTCCTTCACAAACAAAAATCCAGACACAAGGCCTGGTGTGGTAGCATAAAGCCTGTACTCCAGCACTCAGGATGCTGAAGCAGGATTGCCATCAGTTCAAGGCCAAGCTAGACTACATAGCTAGGGAGATCTTGTTTCAGCTGAATGAAAATGAAATTTGCTGGGCACGTAGCTCAGTGTACAAAGGCCCTGGGTGCAATGCCCAGTACCCCCCCCCCCCGAAAAAAGGTCCACGCTTGTAGTTCCAGCACTCTGGGAGGCTAAAACAGGATTGTGAGTTTGACCCCAGCCTGGGCAATTTAGTGAGATTCTGTATCAAAATAAAAAAGGGCTGGGGAGGTAGCTCAGTGGGCAGGTTGTTGGTTTAATACCCAATGGCACCACCAAGCTGAGGTCCCTCTGCTACGGAGATGGGCCTGGACCCATCTGGCGACTTTTTCGCCCTTTCAGAAGTTCATTGAATCCTCTACGGAGTAACGAGCCCAATCGAAGCAACAGGGCCGGGCCGGGTGTTGGAGATAGGTTCTCCTGGCTGAGCCGACTCCCTCACCCTGGGTGCTTACTGTGCTGCTCCAGCCCGGGCCGAGAAGGGGCTGCACCAGAGTGAGCTTTGGGATCCCATGGAGGGCAGCGCTCCCTGGTGTTCACGGCAAGGACTGCGGGGCGGGGTGGAAGCCGGGCGGAGAGACCTCAGGAGGCAAGGTACACGCGCGACCCTCCCGGCTACACTACCCCTTAAGTCCTCAGTTGTGCACCCAGGCGAAGTTCCTGCGCGACGGGACTCGGCTACACTCCTACAACTCCGAACCCGGGCGAACCCTCACCCGGCAAGGCCCGGGAGGGGAGGGGCCGGGCCGGGGGCGGCTGGCAGGAAGCTGCGCGTACCTTCCGCTGCAGGAGGAGCAGGTGGCTGAAGGGCGGCCCGGGGCCGCCCCAGGCTTCCTGTGTGGGCCCCAGCCTGCTGCTCTTTCCCGCCCCAGCTCGTTGGGCTGCCGCGGCCGGCCCGGCCCAGTTCCATGGCCCAGACCCCCGACAGCATCTCCTGTGAGCTTCGAGGTAAGCGCTGACCCTTCCCTGCCCACTTGGCTGGGCCGAGGCAGCGCGGCCCGAAACCAAAGGTTCACCCAGCCAGGAAGTCGGGAATTCGGCCAGAGCGTCTTGATGCCTGTTCTGGGGGCCGTTGTCCCCAGATCCACTGCACTTCTTTCTGGCTGGCACAGGCGGTAGGCACCAGTGGCCGCATTGGGCACTAGTGGCCTTGATAGGAGGACAAAAGTCATCCACCAGGCTGTCCTTCCACAGGCGAGATCACCAGGTTCCTGTGGCCAAAGGAGGCAGAGCTGCTCCTAAAAACCTGGCTTCCCCAGGAAGGTTCTGAGCGAAGTCACATTCTGGTATGGTGGGCAGAAGCAGAGCCCAGGAGGGCAGCTGGGGCCCAGCAGAACGTCTCTTGCCTCTGCCCAAGTATCGGACTCTGTCTTCCCCAGGCGCTGCTGCGATGGAGGGCCTACCTGCTACATACTTGCCTCCCACTGAGGGTGAGTGCTAGGGCCTGGCCACTACCCCCCTTGCCCTCCAGCAGCTTCCTTGGCAAGGGTTTTCATCTGCAGTTGTCCTCTTGTCCTTATGTGATCTGGCTTTCCAACAGCACTGGAATTCAGGCAGCAGACAGGAGGAGGTCTTAGCAGGCCTGCCTCTGGGGTCCAGGCTGCACGAAAGACTGAGGACCCACCAGAGCATGGGAACGCACACCTGTGATCTCAGGGCTGTGGGAGGCTGAGACAGGAGGATCACAAGTTCGAGCCCAGCCTGGGCAACTGAGTGACTTAGTGAGACCCTGTCTTAAAATATAAAATAAAAGGAGCTAGGGATGTACCTCAGTGTGGAGGCCCTGGGTTCAATTCCTAGTACTGCCAAAGAAAAAGACAACTGGGGTCCCAGGAAGGTGGCTCTTGGGGTTTGCTCAGTTGAACATCAATCACTCCCTAGGTGGATTGCACTTTCAGCTACCTAGAGGTCCAGGCCATGGCACTGCAGGAGACACCCCCTCAGGTGAGATATCTGGTGCCCCTCTATGTCTGCACCTGCAGCCCTAACCCCTTACACAGCTCTGGACGGGATACCTGGCCCCACACATGGAGCTGAGGCCCATCACCTCTTACCTCCTCAGGTTACCTTTGAGCTGGAGTCCCTGCCTGAGCTGGTCCTAGAATTTCCTGGTGTGGCCACCGTAGAACAGCTGGCCCAGCATGTGGCTTCAGCCATCAAGAAGGTCTTCCCTCGCTCAACCCTTGGGTAAGGCCTGGCAACTGCAAAGGGCTAGAAGAAGACAGCTGGAGATGTTCTGACTGGCACCAGTGGGCTGCTTCTTCTCTTAGGGGCTTCAAGTCCCTTGTGCTTTCTCCTTTTCCCACTCCCCAGGAAGCTATTCCGGAAGCCCACACCCACCTCAATGCTGGCTCGGCTAGAGAGAAGTAACCCCTCAGAGTCCATGGCCCCCAGGAGCCCCTGTGGTAAGGGACAAGGCAGGGCTACATAGACTTTCCAGTCAGCCCCAGATCCTTGGAGTTCAGGGGCTTCCAAACTGAACAGAACCACATGGGTCACAGGTGCCACCCAGCCTGGGTCTGATCTTTCTCCATCTCTTTTTGTCTCTCTTCTTCTTCCCTTTGTCATACTCCTGGCACCTCCCCAGGTGGCTTCTTGGAGACATATGAGGCTCTGTGTGACTACAATGGCTTCCCTTTCCGAGAAGAGATTCAGTGGGTGAGGGTAGGGCCCTCTCTGGGGGGCTCTGGAGACATTTGATCCCCCATATGTGCTGACCCCTTCTTGCCCTTTGTGGCCTCAAGCCAGTTGTAGCTACTTTCTTTCCAACCAGGAAGTGGACACCATCTATCATCGTCAAGGATGCCGCCAGTTCAGCCTAGGAGATTTCAGTCACCTTGGCAGCCGGTGCGAGGCCTGTCAGGATTGGGACGGGGGTCCCGAACCCATATTCCTGACTATATTCAGACTATCTATGGAGGGGATGTTGGGCCTAGCCCTGGCCAGAAGGACCTGAATTCTGTCCCTGCCCTTCTCCCCACTCCCCACCCAGGGACCTGGCCTTGAGTGTGGCTGCCCTGTCCTACAACCTGTGGTTCCGGTGCCTCTCTTGTGTGGACATGAAGCTGGTGAGCTTGTAGGGCAGGAAGGAGCCAGGGATATTGGAGCCAGGGTACACCCTACTGAGCCATAACCCTTTGGTCTCAGAGCCTTGAGGTCTCAGAACAGATTCTACACATGATGGGTCAGTCATCCCACCTGGAAGAGCTAGTGCTGGAGACCTGTGGCTTGAGAGGGTGAGGAGACAGGGTAGGGCCTGGGGAGGGGATTCGGAACTTGGGATGAGTGCTAGTGCCTGGGGAGGACTTGGGAATCCAGGGTCAGTCTCATGTCTCGGGTTTTGGTCCTCAGAGACTTTGTCCGTCGACTGGCCCAGGCACTGGCAGGACATTCGAGCTCTGGGCTTCGAGAACTCAGCTTGGCGGGGAACCTGGTGGATGATAGAGGTATGGCTGAGCCTGGAAAAGCCCAGGGGCAGGAAGCTGGAGGATGTGAAACTCACAGGGCTGCCCAATCCCCAGGCATGGCTGCACTCAGCAGGCACTTAGAGCATCGTCCAGGAGCCCTCAGGAGACTCAACCTAGCGCAGACAGGATTGACACCTCGAGGTGGGCTAGGAGATGAGGGGGTGGGAGAGGGGAAAGGAGTCTACCTGATTCTGAGCCACCCCATCCTCCCTCTCCAGGAATGAGGGCTCTGGGCCAGGCACTGGCCACCAATGCTGCCTTTGACTCTGCCCTGACCCATCTGGACCTTTCTTGTAATCCTGGGGCACTAGGGGCCTCAGAGGACAATGGAGTGAGTAGTTGCCCTCACCCCATCGGTGTGACTGCAGGCAGTGGGATGTCCAGAAGCCCTAGGTAGAAATACCTGACTCCCTCCCACCCTCAACCTCCTACCAGGGCCTCTATAGTTTCCTGAGTCGTCCTAACGCTTTGATGTTCCTGAATCTCGCAGGCACAGACGCTGCCCTGGATACTGTGAGGGGTGTTCATGCGGGGATGATCAGCCGGGCTCGGAAGCTCAAGCTGGGTTGATTGGAGGGCAGAGTGGGGTCAGGGATGGCTTGGTCCCCCCCCCCCCCCCCCGCTGCCACCATGTAGCCAACACCTTCCTCCTGCAGCTCTTCACAGCGCTGTCGAGCGGCTGCTGTTCCAGCCTCACCTACCTTGACACTTCCAGGAATGTCTTCTCTCGCTGGTAAAGGGTACTGGTCCAGGGTGGGGAAGGCTGTGAAGAGCCATCTCCCTGCATCCGAAGTCCATTTCTCCCACTCCCTACCCTAGCAAGTCCCCGGCTGCCGCTGCATCGCTGCAGCTCTTCCTTAGCCGTGCAGAGACCTTGCGGCACCTGGGCCTGGCGGGCTGCAAACTGCCACCGGAAGCGCTCAGGTCAGTATCACTGTGCTCCACCATGCCCCTTCACTGAAACCATCCTGACCCTCCCTCCGGAGCTTTACCCCAAAACTCCAACTCTCCAAAGCCCCAGGCTCCCTTCGTACTGGCCCTTCCCTTTTGGTTCTCCTTGGTATGCTGGTGCCCCCCTTTCCTGGCTCCCACCACCCACTTGGCACCCTCTCCCAGGGCCGTTTTGGATGGCCTGGCGCTCAACACACACATCCGAGACCTGCACCTGGACCTCAGCGCTTGTGAGGTGAGCACTCTGTCCTAGAAGTGAGCATGCAGAGCTCCCACACCTTGGGAGTGGGGTTATTGGCTGCCTGCCCCTCCCCCACTATGGCCTGTGTGCACCCCACCTTTTACCTCTAGCTGCGCTCTGCGGGTGCCCAGGTGATACAAGACTTAGTGTGCGATGCAGGCGTCGTGAGCTCCTTGGATCTGGAGGATAATGGTAAGTCCTGCCCAGAACCCATCCTCCCTGTTGTCCAGCATACTCCCGATCCCCACCCTATCCCAGCAGTCTTGCCTTGTACATGACCCTAGTTGCCCCCAGGCTTTGGCTCAGACATGGTGACTCTGGTGCTGGCCATCGGGAGGAGCCAGTCGCTGAGACATGTAGCACTTGGAAGAAACTTCAACGTCCGGTGCAAGTGAGTCCCCATCTCACCCGGGCCTCCCAAGCAGCACCTCTCTACCCTGGTCCCCTCTCCCGACATAAGCCCCTGCTGACAGGGAGACCCTGGATGACGTCCTGCACCGGATCGTCCAGCTCATGCAAGACGACGACTGTGTGAGTTCACAGTACCTTGTGGGATGCTCAGTAATAGACCCCTTTAACTATGTTGGCTGTTACTTGCTCAGACCCTCTGACCTGCCCTCTGGTGACACCCTAACTCCAATCATGGCTTTCTCTTAACCCCAGCCCCTGCAGTCTCTGTCCGTGGCTGATTCGCGGCTAAAGCTGGGCGCCGGCGTCCTACTCCGGGCACTGAGCACCAATCCTAACCTGACTGCACTGGATATCAGTGGCAACGCCATGGGGGACACGGGCGCCAAGATGCTGGCCAAGGCCCTGGGAGTCAACACGAGGCTCCGGTGGGCGGTGTTATCATAAGAGTGGGACCAATACTGGAGGAGGGTGTGGTATGAGGGGCGGGGCTGAAGGAGCAGACTGGTGGAACAAATGAATGGTCAAAGCCAGTGAGTTGGATGGGGCCTTGTAGAGCTCTGCCCCCAACTGAAGCCCGACCTGGTTTAGGTCTGTGATTTGGGATCGGAACCACACATCTGCTCTGGGGCTGCTGGACGTGGCGCAGGCCCTGGAGCAGAACCATAGCTTAAAGGACATGCCTCTGCCACTGAACGATGTGGTCCAGGCCCAGCGTAGCCGCCCAGAACTGACAGCACGAGCAGTCCATCAGGTGCGGATCTCCTCCTCCCCTGACATTCTTTGCACAGTGACTCCACCTTTCCCTGTTTCTCAGTATTCCTTGCCCCTAGATCCAAGCCTGTCTCTTGAGGAATAACCATGAGGATCCCACCTCTTCTGGCCCCTCATCTTGCCTTCAGCCTTTGAATTTGGTTTCAGATCACTCAGAGCAGGTCAGTACCCCCTCAACAGTACTGTGGAAGTCTTCATGAGTCAGAGGATATGACTTTCCTGGGCCCAAGGTGCTGAGTCCTCCTGTCCCAATCAATTTCCTCTCCTTGGTCTAGAGACAGCCATTTGCTCCAGAAATAGCTCCCCAATAACACCCCTGGCTGCCTTACTTTAAGCAAGTAAACAGGCTCTCCTGTTAAAGATAGGATGTATTTAAAAAGCCTACCTCACCTTTCATGATTGTACCCCATCTCTGACTTCCCATTCTCAGGGCTCTCCTCCTGTCCACTAACCTCTGTGTGGCAAAACCCAACAGCCCTATCTCTGATATCATCTCCTTCTACTTCCTGACCTTTTCAAGATGTTCCCATCTCTCCATTCCCAAATCCCTTCTCTCCTAAGCTCCAGAGCCCAGACACCTTTACCTAGACATCCTATGGAGACTTCACACTCTACATGTTTTCAACTGATCTCATCATCTCCCACAAACCCCATTCTCCTCCTTGGAGTACAATTTCCCTGAGGCCAACAACCACCAAGTGCCAGGAACAAAAGTTTGGACATTATTTCAAGTCTCTCCTGGCCACACTGGAGTCATCAGAGCCTACCTTGGTCCTGCCTCTGGATCAACTCTCAAACATGCACTTGTCACCCAACACCAACTGTCCTTTGCTTCCCCACTTCCTGTGCCATGACTCCTCACTCTCCTTACACACACACACACACACACACACACACACGCAGAGACTTCTTCTAGGTGGGTGGTGGACAGACTCAATTTCTAAAACAAAAAATGACTAAAAGCTGTTCTGGACACTTCGGAAGTATCAAGTCCCTAAAATGATCCAAAAGAAGAGACACTGCTCTCCCTCCTTGAACACATAGGGTTCCTAAGTGGCTAGCTTGGCATGCAGCTTCAGGGCCTCACCCACCCTGTCAGAGACCCTGGGAGGGAGGCAGGCAGGTAGGGTCTGGGTGCCTAGGAGGGGACTAAAGTGGGATTGAACCCTGATGCTCCTCAGGAGGTGAATGAGCTGTGTCAGTCGGTGCAGGAGCACATGGAGCTGCTGGGCTGTGGGGCTGGACCCCAGGGTGAAGCTGCTGTGCACCAAGCAGAGGATGCCATCCAAAATGCCAACTTTTTTCTCAGCGTGAGCACTCTCCTTCCCTTTACAAGGACCTTTCTCCTCTTAGTCACATGTCAACTTAAAACTCCTTTTCCTCCTTGAACCTCAGATTCTCCCCATTCTAAATGAGGCTGGGAACTCCCCAAGCTATCAATGGCAGCTGCGGCAGAAGGTGGAGGCCCTCCTGGAACAGGTGGGTGAGGTCTGCCGCCAGGACACCCAGGTGAGATGTACTCCTGCCCTAGCCCTACCTCCATATGCAAACTTGACCCCATCCCATTGGCTTGACTGTTATATCCTCTGAGTCAGTGGGGCTTCTGGGGTACAGCCTCAAACCAAGACCTGGACCCTGGCCACAGCCTCACTGTACTCTGACCTTTGTCCAGGACTTCATTCAGGCCATACTGGACACAACAAGGAGCCTCTGCCGACAGATGCTGCAGGGACCTGGCTGGAGGGAGCAGCTAGAAGGGGTCCTGGTGGGTTCAGAGGGCCTCCCAGAGCTGCTCCCAGAGCAGCTACTGCAAGATGTCTTCACCAGACTCAGGTAGCTTGGGTGGGCCTGGGCTGGGCAAGGCTGTGCAAGGTTGTGCAGAGCCAGCAAACTAACTCATACCCTCCTCCCTGCAGGGACATTCGGCTGTCAGTCACTGGGACCCTTTCAGAGAACATTGTGGCTCAGGCTCTGGCAGGCCTGAGTGCAGCCCAGGATCGGCTGGTGAGGGGGAGCTGTTCTCGGATTTGCATACAGAGTGACCTGGCCATCCTTCTTGCAGGAACTCTGTGATGTCTTCTGGGGTCATGTAGCCCAGGGATACTTCATCTTTCTCTTACCAATGCCCATCTTTGGGTGATCTGGTATTTCAGGTGGAGAGTCTGGCTCAGCAGGCACCAGTGGCAATGCCCCCTAGCCTCCCAGCACTGGATGGAGGTGAGCTCAGCCCCCTAGGGCCTGGGGCATTGGAAGGTTTTTTCTTCCCTGAGGACAAGGAAGAGGAAGAGGAAAAGGAGAACGTAAGTGGTCCCAGAATTCTAGGCCTAAGACTCAAAATCTTCCCATCTTGGTCTGGGGTGTGGAAGGTGAGAGCTGTGCCTCCCCACCCAAGGCTGAGGTTGTGCCCTCACCAGCAGGATGAAAGTCCTCTGTGGAAATGGCCTGAGCACTGTCTTCACCTGGTCCCCTTCGATTACAGTAAGCCAAGGCCTTAAGGAACAACATTTACCTAAATGGGTTGAACCTCCTTTAGACCTGGGGACCTGGACACATTCAAGTCCTGTCCTGGGTATTTTCTAACCCAGGCCTAGGCCAGGCCAGGACCGCGTTCAGTCTGCAAAGGTGGGGTCAGGAGAGAGTGAGACCTGAGCCCAGCAAGGCCAGGTCGCCATCTCCCCTGTCCCCACTGCCTCTTTCCCTACCCCCTGGACGCGCATGCTTGGCAGCGATGAGGAGCCGCGCGCGCTCGGGGCCGCGCTCAGCACCATGGACAGCGGTGGCGGGGGAGGGGCGGGGCGGGCGGAGTAGCCGGGCCCCTCCCTGCGCCCAGGGCGGGTCCCCCGCCGCCCTAGCGCCTCACCACCACCTCCCCCGGTTCGGCGCTTGGTGCTCTTCTGGTGCTCTTGCCTTAGGTGCTGCTGAGCAAGCGGAACCGGAGCCCGAGCTGGCGGCTCCGGGGGAAGATGCTGAGCCGCAGGCGGGGCCGTCCGCTCGCGGCTCTCCGAGCCCCGCCGCTCCCGGGCCACCAGGCGGCCCACTGCCTCGCATGGACCTGCCGCCCGCCGGGCAGCCCTTGCGCCATCCAACCCGGGCGCGGCCACGGCCACGCCGCCAACACCACCACCGCCCGCCGCCGGGGGGCCCCCAGGTGAGCGCCCTCCCCCCATGCCGGAGCTCATGGACTTGGGGGTCGTGGTTGGTCGGGTCGCTCCGCAAGGTGATGGCGGGCAGGGAGGCTGGTTGTGAGAGCCCAAGGCCACTTGGTCGTGCTGCCGTGTCTTGGCTTCGTCCTGGCTAACCCCTAACCCAGGCCGTGCCTATGTGGGGCCACGGTGTGCGGGTTTCAAGTGGGATGCCCCTGGGTGGAGGACTCCGCCTCAGAATGGTCCTCTGCATGAGTGGATGTGCGAGGTTGTCCGTCTTGCTCTCCTTCCCCGGGGGCCTTAGGGACACTCCTATCTCTGCTGTGCGTCCGGTGGGTGTATGTGTGGAGATGTGCGTGGGCTGGGAACTGGCAGGGGCAGTGGGCACTCGCGGAAATCGAGGAGGAGCCGGCTGGAGCCCCCCCCACCCAGGGTCTGACGCAGCAGGCGGCAGTAGGCCGGGTGGGGTGGGGGTGGGGGTGGGGGTACTGCAGGAAACTGCTGCGAGCTGAAGGATTGGCAGGTGGAATGTGTGACCCCGGGGACGCAGGGATGCTGTAGCCTGCTGGTGGGCCAGGTGGTTCAGTTCACTCGTGGAATAGGAATGAGTGTGGGCTGGCTGGGTATGCCAGAGCAGCAATGAAAGCAGTGTGTGGACAGCACTGAACAGTGGGAGAGCTGGTATCAGCACCCCCGTAGGGTCACCCCAGCTCTGGGATCCTGCTGTTACCCACAGCAGGCTGCTGGACAGGGGAGCAGGGAGAAGTCACAGGTGCATTCAACCCTGACCTGTGACCTCATGGTGTTGCCCCAGGTGCCCCCAGCCCTGCCGCAGGAAGGGAATGGGCTCAGTGCCCGAGTGGACGAGGGCGTGGAGGAATTCTTCTCCAAAAGGCTGATCCAGCAGGATTGCCTGTGAGTGAGGGGCAGTTACCTGGGGTGGGAGAGGGTGGGATGCCCATGGGCTTCCTCACTCACTGCTGGTTGTCCCTACAGTTGGGCCCCTGAGGAGGACCCAGCCACCGAAGGGGGTGCCACTCCTGTCCCCCGTACACTTCGAAAGAAGTTGGGCACCCTCTTTGCCTTTAAGAAGCCTCGTTCAACACGGGGTCCACGGCCTGATTTAGAGACCAGCCCTGGTGCAGCTGCCCGCACCCGGAAAACCACTCTTGGGGACCTGCTGCGGCCTCCAGCCCGTCCTGGCCGTGGTGAGGAGCCTGGTGGGACCGAGGGGGGCCCCAGCAGCCCTGACCCTGCCCGAAGAAGCAGGCCTCGGTACACACGGGAAAGCAAGGCCTACTCAATGATACTGCTGCCTGCTGAGGAGGAGACACTGAATGCCAGACCTGATAAGGTGAGGCCTGGTGACAGGATGGATGAGGATTTTTCTGGAACCCAAGGAAGGGGCTCTGTCTTGACTCACCCCTCTTTGTCTCCAGCGGCGGCCCCTGGAGCGGGGAGACACAGAGCTGACCCCGTCCTTTGAACAGCGGGTACAAGTTATGCTGCAGAGGATCGGTGTGAGCCGGGGCAGTGGGGGTGCCGAGGGCAAGAGGAAGCAAGTGAGTTTGGGGGCTTATGAGTGTAAAGTGAGGGGGCAGGTGACACATGGCAAATCTGTAGGTGACATGTGACCAGGAGGAAGAGACTCACAGTACACACAGATCTAATTGTCAGTTTCACTCTCTTCCCCCTCAAAATAGTCATGGGATTCAATTTCTTTCCCTCTTGGTGTCTACCATTAACACATCCTCCTAGAACCTGGGAAAGTCCTTTCTCTGCAGATCTAACAGAAATCTGACCTTGTCACCTGTACTTGAAAGTCCAGGGGCTTCAAAGTTATTCACATTTCCAATCCTGCTGCTACATGGTCCAATGGGACCTTGTTCCTGGCCACTTTCTTTTCTCCTTCCTTGGGGCATCTCAGACCCTCCTCATGTGTTCTGGTCTGGATCCTCCCTGCTCTGCATCCAGTCATAGGTTACACTAGGTTCCTTCTCAGCCATCTCAGCAGTTCCCTGTGGGCCTTCAGATTCCCTTGTATGGCCACGTTGCTAATGTCATTCTGATCACAGTCCCTATTAAGAACCACAGGCCTATGTACCATCTACTTAACAGCTTTTCAGAAAGTACATATAAGTGAGACCTGCCTGTATTTAGAAACAATAAAGTGTGGAAAGTACACTACAGATCTAAGAAATAACAGGATGTGTTTATCTATGAATGCGCATGCATGTTTTTGTGTGCCAACTGCTATCCCAGACCGTGAGCTCTCAGGGGGCTGGGACTGGGTTCGCCATGTTCTTGCCCAGCTCATAGAGGGCATTTTGTGACTTGGTTATAAGAACAAGAATGAACAAAAAGATAGGGTGAGGGAGGCAGGGTTGGGATTTGACTGCCTTGTTTCCTACAGAGTAAAGATGGTGAAATCAAGAAAGCTGGCTCAGATGGTAAGTGGGACCCTGGGGTAAGGAAGTGTATGTCAAGGGTGTCCTCAGAGATGGTCCCCAAGGCACTTGCTTTCCTGGGGGAAGGGGGAGAGGCCAGGTTTTTCTTCCCCTTATCCCTATGGTCTGGTGCCTGAGTCCTCAGCCCCACCTTGCAGGTGACATAATGGACAGCTCCACGGAGACCCCTCCCATCTCAATCAAGTCCCGAACTCACTCCGTGTCTGCTGGTGAGTGAGGGCCACTGTGTGCTAGGGGAGGTACAGGGACAGATGAGAGTGGGTTAGCTGGGCATGATAGTGTGCTAATCCCAGCACTTGGGAGGCTGAGGCAGGATGACCACTCTGAGTTCAAAGCCAGCCTGGGCTACATTGGAGTTCCATGGCCAGCCTGAACTACATAACAAAACCCTGTCCCCCCCCAAAAAAAAAGAGGGCTGAGGATTTAGCTCAGTGGTTTCGCTGCTTGTTGCACAAGCACAAGGACCCCAGTTTGATCCCCGGTACCAAAAAAACAAAACAAAAAAACCCGAGTGCCAGGGATTTAGCTCAGTGGTTTTGTTGCCTGCCTTGCAAGGGTAAGGACCCAACTTCGATCCAAAAAAAAGAGTGAGTCAGACCATTGCTATCCCCAAGGCCTGGCCCAGGTCTTGGCTGACTTCTTCTCCCTGCAGACCCCTCATGCAGACCTGGCCCAGGGGTCCAGGGGCCTGAGTCTGCCACCTGGAAGACACTGGGACAGCAGTTGAATGCAGAGCTCAGAGGCCGTGGTTGGGGCCAACAGGATGGTCCAGGCCCCCCCTCCTCACCTTGTCCCAGCCCAAACTTCCGCAGAGCCAGCCCTGCCCCAGACAGCCTGGGCCTTCCAGAGGACCCTTGCTTGGGCCCCAGGAATGAAGGTAGGCAAGCATCCCACCCCCTACCCAATCCTGGGCTGAGGACTGGAGTTCCTGCTGGGAACTCACCTCCCCTGGGGGCCCAAAGGTGGGACTCAGGGCTGGAGTGGGGGCAACTGTTGGAAGCATACCCTGATACCCTGGCCTCCCCTAGATGGCCAGCTGAGGCCAAGGCCTCTCTCGGCAGGCCGACGAGCAGTGTCTGTGCATGAGGACCAGCTCCAGGGCCCTGCTGGTGAGGGAAGACACCTCCATGTGTGCTTGAGTGCAGGAGACGGAGGAGGGTGGGCTCCTGGGCTTCCATTATGGTTCTGGTCCTTGGAGGGGGCCACTAGTGGTGTGAGGGCTGGAGAAACCAGCCAGACGGCCAGGAGCAAAGGTCTGACAACCCCCTCCTACTCGTCCTGGCTCCACCTCCCAAAAAGCCACTTCTACCAGGGGTGGAGGAGGCAGGGGAAGGGCAAGCTGAGGGTAGTAGTGTGTGTGCACTCTTGCATGCACTGGAGTTAAGGAGAGGGGTGGGAGATGGACAGGCAGCAAGCCTTTCTGTGTCCCTTAGAACGGCCCCTGCGGCTGCAGCGGTCCCCAGTCCTCAAGCGTAGACCGAAGCTCGAGGCACCCCCATCCCCAAGCCTAGGTAAGAGGTAGCCAGGACCAGTTGGGAGGGTGGGAGAACTGCTCAGCATAACCTTCACCCTTCCTCTCTCCCTCTCCCTCACAGGATCTGGCCTTGGAACCGAGCCTCTGCCCCCACAGCCCACAGAGCCCTCCAGCCCTGAGCAGAGCCCACCCTCCCCAGCCACAGACCAAAGAGGCGGCGGTCCCAACCTCTGATCCTCTCCTGCCGCATGAAATTATTTTATTAAAAAACTTGAAGGAATCAGAGTGTGGAACACTGTTTGTCCTCGCCTGGACTTGTGTTTGTGTGTGCACATCCACCAATGTGCCCGCATGATCCTTCACACCTCAGTTAGCTCAGACTCTGGCTCTGGCTCCATCAGGAAGTGCAAAGCCCAAGCCACAAGCTGGGGAGGTAACCTGGGAAGAAACAATGGTTCCATGTCAAGATGGCCTGGCACTGGTGACCAACAGAATGGGGAGTATCCCCGGGGAACTCACCTGGCAGCTTGGACCTGGGCACAGAGGGAGGCACAAGGTGGCTCGTACTCATACTGGAAGGCAGAACCATCATGATGCCTTTTGGGGGGATCCTGAAAGGGGTATGGTGTCTGGGGAGAGGCCAACAAGGTGCCCTAACCCCATCGAAGGGTATCCCTACTCCCCTTCCAGCTCTATCCAAGGCCCTCCCCATTCTGCAGTTGTAGAGGACCAATGCTCACCCACACAGCACAGGGCTCCTGGGCTCTCTTGGTTCTGGTCCTTGGAGAAGGCTGCTGGTTGTTGGGGGTCAACTCTTGCTCCTTAAACTCTAGGTTAGGCTTCTGGGGCTTGGTATTATGAGTCCAACGTGGACTGGACGCCTGGCCAAGGGACAGGAGACTGGGGGTGCAGCTCAGGTGTGTAGAGTTGTGTGTGTAACTGCAGTGTGGGGAACTGGGGAGCAGGGGGCCAGGAGCTGAGCAGATGGTTGGTGAGGGCTGGGAGCTATCCCTCTCCACTGGGTCTGGAGCAGCCAAGGATGGGGCAGGCAGAAGACTGACACTGGCACTGCTTTCTTCCAACGGCTCATGCCAAGGTAAGGCAGGGGCTCCTGAAGAGGAGGGGACATACTGTGGGCACAGCCCTCTCGGCTCACAGCAGCTGAGTGGCCTGTGAGCTCAGGCAAGGTCTCTAAGGTCTGTGTTTGCCCCACCCACTGCACACCATTTCACAGCATCCTGCATAGCCTGGGTAGCTGACTGACAACAGAGAGTGCTTCTGGCCTGAGAACCTCCCCAGGGGAACTGGGTATGGAAGGTCAGGAGGTCAGGGTCAGAGATGAGTCCTGCAGAGCCCACTGTGGTGGGCACAGCTCAGGGCCTGGCGGTTCTGGGATGGCTCATCAGCACTGTGGGTCCTGGGCCCCAGGAACTCCCCTTATGACACCTCTAGTTCTCCTTACCCTGTGCTCTCTGACTGGTGCCCAGAGAGTTCAGAATTTGCTGGTCATTGTCAGAGATGTGCAGCAATAAGCTGGGAACAGTGTACAGGGCTTCTTCCTATAACACATAAACCCTCAGCCTGGCCCTTGCCCAACCCCTCACCCTGACACTTCCCAAGGGAACCCCCAGACTGACCATAGCCCTGCAGCGAGAGGCAGCCCAGTGGGTGAGGGGGGGTGCTGTGCAAGGGCCTGCCAATATTAGGCAGCTCTCAGCCAGGCGCACCAGTGCCTCCCGATGCTCCTGGTCCTCCTGTACCTCATCCAGAAGCTGGGTCAGTGTTAGACCTGGGACAGGGGACCAGACAGTGGATTAAAGTTCAAAGAGAAAGGAGAGTAGGATATGGAAAGGTACTCACTGAGGAAACGCAGGGTGATCGCAGGAGAGGTTACTCCATAGAATTAGGTAGGGTTATTGGACAACCTCTACCAGTACCTGCATTGGAAGAGTTGGACTCTGAAAGGTGGTCCCTACAGAAACAGAGTGGGCAGGCCTCAGGAACAATCCTGAGGCCTGTCTACCAGATCTGCCACCCCTTGAACAGACCTCACATGGCCCCAGAACTCAAGCCTAGACTTACTCAAGGCAGTCATAGAGCTTTCTTTGCACAGCCAGGTCCTGGTTGCTGTGGAAAAGAGGAGAACGGTAAGCAGTCAATGTTACCAGAGACCAAAGCCCTCCCATCCAAACTCCTAGGCCAACACCAGCCAGGCCTCCTATTGGGTGGGGAGAGCTGGGGGGGGGGCACACACTCTGTGCTGGGGATTGAAGCCTGGGTCTCCACGTGTCAAGTGCTCTGCAACTAAGCTACACCCATGGCCCTTGCTGGCATCACTTACCAACCGGTCACTGGTACCCGGGGCTGCTCTGTGGGCAGCAGGTTGAAGCGGTCCACCTGGAGGTAGAACTCCGCAGGCTGCAGAAATTGGTGGGGGGAGGACTCAAGAATTGTCGAGAACAGCCAGAACCCACCCACACCAGCCTCACCACTCACCGCACCACCATCGGCGATCTGGATGCGGACCCCACAGACTTGCAGCAGGAGCAGCCGGCCCTCGGCCCCGCTGAATCCGAACTCCTTCTCCTCCCTGCAAGGCGAGTGCGACCCTCACTGCCCAGCTCTCCAGGACAGTGGTCCCGCCCACCTCGGGCTCAACCACGCCCTCGCCAGCTGTGCTCGAATCTCCCGGAGTCCAGAGGCGTCTCACCAGTCTGAAGTGTTCAGAGCCTCTTGTGTCACCAGGCATCTGACACTGTGAGTCCCGTCGGACACAAGCAGCATGGCTCCGCCGTCAAGAATGTCAGGGACGTGGGACGGGCCCGCGGTCACCACGTCCTGCAACACCTGGGGGCGGTGACCGGCGTCAATCTCACCACCCCGGCTTCCGCCCCCCGGCCTGGGTCTCTGGGCCACGATTGGGAGCTTACCTTAAGGAGCTGCCCTGCTTGTGGACTTGGGAGTGCCTCTGACCCCAGGATTAACTCTCGAATCCAGGGCCGCAACACGAGAGACCCCATGCTTGCCATTCCCGCGGCGGCACCTAGCGGGAAGCAGCTGGTGGAGGTTTCCCGCCGGCGCTGCGGCCCCGCCTCCTGTCGGAAGAGGAAGCGCGAGACGTTCGGGCGGGTCCCGAGGCCCACGCCCCACCCAGTGCTCGCGGCGCGTGCGCACCCGGGAGTCGTGTTCCGAAATTTACGTGGAGGTTTCTGTTCGGTGGGCTGGTTCCTGGGCCGACTTTTCTTACCGAGGGACCTCTTCGAAAAGCACCCCCGCGTTTGGGCCGTTCCTCAAGACTCCCGTGGCTCCAGGATAGGGCCAACGGCTATCTTGAGTGGAGAGGGATTCGGGGCTGGAATCTGTGGCCGATGGTGGTCCGAGTTGGCTGGTAGCCACCTTGCTGGTGTCAGCAAACATTTATTATGCCTCTGCTTCCTCATCTACAAAATGCACAGCCTTGTAAGGCCAGGAGAAATAATACACAGATAACGCTCAATAAATGTCACTTCCTGCATTTGTCTCTCAGATTGGCCGAGTCCTTCCTTCCTCAGATTCCCCGGACGCACGAATCATAGCGTGATGACGTAAGAGCAGAGGAGGACTTTTCCCACCCCCATCTCCGTTTCCTAGGAAACGCTGGCTCCGCTGTTGCTCCGTGTCGCGGCCCCCTGACGTCAAGGTCCGGATGGGAGGGCGGAGCGAATCCTACCTCCAGGGGCGGGGCGGCGCGGGCGGGCCGGCCGGGCTGTGCACCTGCTCCTGGGCGGGCTGCTTGGGGCAGCGTCCTCAGCCCGCCCGGCCCCGCCATGGCCAGGCCGCAGAGGACTCCGGCGCGCAGTCCTGACAGCATCGTCGAGGTGAAGAGCAAAGTAAGGGCTCCCGCGGCCCCAGCGCCGGCCCTAGGCGGTCCCAATTCCCTTTCTCCCTTCTCGGCTCCTTGGTCCTTATCACCTCTTTCTGTCCTCCATCCTCCACGTCTCATTCTGCCTTTCTGCCCGCCAGCCTTCATCCATCGTCCTTCTGCTGCTGGCCTGAATAGTTCGTCTGTGACTGGGGTATATGGGGGATGAGGGTGGGGGGACATTGGACAGCGTCCCCTGTGCTGGAGCTGTTTGGGCTTAAGGCTGCTGCTTTTTCGGCACCCCGTTCTTTCCCATCCCCGACAGCCTCAGAGTTATGGTGAGGAGGGGGCGCGGGCTCTGTCCTGATCCCTTCCCCTTCACCCCCGGCCTCCAGTTTGACGCCGAGTTCCGACGCTTCGCACTGCCCCGAGCTTCGGTGAGCGGCTTCCAGGAGTTCTCACGGTTGCTGCGAGCGGTGCACCAGATCCAGGGCCTGGACGTGCTGCTTGGCTACACAGATGCTCACGGCGACCTGCTGCCCCTCACCAACGATGACAGTCTGCACCGGGCGCTGGCCAGTGGTCCCTCACCGCTGCGCCTACTGGTGCAGAAGCGGGGTGAGGATGGGGTATTATGTGGTAGGGTGACAGGGCAGGTCTACAAGGGTTAGTCCATAGCCAAGGCACCCAGGTTATGCACTCTGCAGTCCCTGCCCTTCGCCTGACCTCCAAATGGTAGAAAATAGCGACATGGCCCACTGTTAAGGTCTCAAGTGGCAAAGCAGAGTCTCTGATCTCAGCACCTCCTTTCCCTGCAGCAGAAGCAGACTCCAGAAGCCTGGCTTTTGCCTCCAACTCTCTGCAGCGGCGCAAGAAAGGGCTCTTGCTGCGACCAGTGGCCCCACTGCGTACCCGGCCACCTCTGCTAATTGGCCTGCCCCAAGATTTTCGCCAGGTTTCCTCAGTGATAGATGTGGACCTACTACCTGAGACCCACCGACGAGTGCGGCTGCACAAGCATGGTTCAGACCGCCCCCTGGGTTTCTACATACGAGATGGGATGAGCGTCCGTGTGGCTCCCCAGGGCCTGGAGCGGGTTCCAGGCATCTTCATCTCCCGCCTGGTACGTGGGGGCCTGGCTGAGAGTACAGGGCTGCTGGCAGTCAGTGATGAGATCCTCGAGGTCAATGGCATTGAGGTGGCTGGGAAGACCTTGGATCAAGTGACGGACATGATGGTTGCCAACAGCCATAACCTCATTGTCACTGTCAAGCCTGCCAACCAGCGCAATAATGTGGTTCGAGGGGCATCTGGGCGTCTGACAGGGCCTCCCTCTGCAGGACCTGGGCCTACTGAGCCCGACAGTGATGATGATGACAGCAGTGACCTGGTCCTTGACAACCGCCAGACTCCCTGTTACAATGGGCTGTCTCAGGGTCCCCCATGCTGGGACTTGCATTCTGGGTGCCTACTTCCTGGTGCCCGCAGCTCTCTCCCCTCCCTGGATGATCAAGGACAGGCCAGCTCTGGCTGGGGGAGTGGCATACGAGGAGATGGTAGTGGCTTCAGCCTTTGACAGGCAAGGATGCAACCCCTTGCCACTGGAGGCTGCTGGAACATAGCAGGGACTTCCCATTGGGAGGTTTTAGCTTGCTCACAGGCCCCTCTTAGCATGGGAAACATTAAAGATTTTCTACCGTTACAGACATGGTCCTTCTGCGTCCCAGCCCAAGCCTCCTCCTTGATCCTACAAGCCTGCCTTCTGTCCTAGACATGAGGCAGGATAAGGGCAGAGGGGAAAGCCTCCCATAGTCAAGCAGTAGGAGGGCCACCAGGCTTGGCTTTCTGGAGTAAGAAAAGCTCTTATGGAAACAGTCCCAGTCTGTATAAAACGTTTAATTTTGACAAAGGGGTTAAAAGGTTGGGATGGTTCTTCTGTAGGCACTGGTGACTGGGAAGAGTGCCCTGGGTATACGGTGCACCCCACTGTTGCTGTCTTCAGACTTCTGCTCTGTGATGGGGCCTGACCCTGCCCTTTGCAGCCATGTGGCAATCCTCAGCATGGAACTCCTTGCCCCTGTCCCTAAAAAGGGGTTCAGGAGTCCATCTTCACAAACACTTTGGGCCGGGAAAAGATCTTGATGGCTTCTTCCACCTGTACCAGCTTCCGGTCTAGCTCAGCACGGTGCCCCTGGGCTCTCAGTGAGTCTGCTCCAGCAGGCAGCAGTACTAGCTCACGCAGCAGCTGACTCTGGCCTGCAGGTTCCCAGGAACAGTGAGTGCTGGGCAGGGATGTGTGATCCCCAGAGGGCTCCCCATCCAGCCCCCTTGCCTCAGGTACTCACTCTGCAGCAGATTATTTAGTGTCTCCAGCCGCTGGTTCTCAGGCATGCGAGTGTGGCCAGGGGGCATGGTGGGATCTGGCTGGCTATTCTGCCTGGCCTCAGCCTCCCGCCGCCACAGATCTTTGCGCTCCAACAAACTACAAAGGCACAGGCCCAGGTTTGATGACACTAGGGTGGAGATTGACTCCCACCCACTACAGGTACCCCTCACCCTGGGTGTCAGGCAGTGGGACCTACTAATGGGGAACAAGGCCTTTCTGTGTGGTGTTGTAGTGCTCCTGGGCTTGCCGCTGTCTCTCCAGCACCTGGGCCAGGATCTGCAGTGAGCGGGAATGGCGCTGGGGGGCTCTCTTCGCAGCTTGGGCATTGTGACTAATGAAGTCCACACCTATGCCTGGCCCCTACAGGACATGGCAAGCATGGAGGGGGCCCAATAGCACTGTGTTGTGCCCCTGGACCCCCAGACCCTGCCCCATCCTTCTCCTGGCCCCCATACATTTTCTCACCTTAGCTTTAGGACTTGCTGGAGTAAGCTGGGGACTGGGGACACGGGGTGGTGGGAGCCCAGGGCCACAGCGGGAGTGTGCCCGAAGGAAGTGGGCAGGCTGTATCACAGAGGCAGGGCTAGGCTTCTGGAGGGCAGAGCACAGTAGAAGAGTCCCATCAAGCTAAGGCCAGGGTCTTAGGTCATAAGACCATGTCTCTGTCCCTTCTATTCCTATCCCTATTGCCCTCTTCCCTCTTGAAGGAGCATATCTGCTCATCGGCATTTAAACACATGTGTGTTTCTCATACCTTTTTTTGTTTCAGTAAGGAGGATCAAACCTAGGTCTCTGCATATGCTAGGCAAACTTTCCACCACTGAACTACATCCTTAGCTCCTCTCACATCTTTAAGAGAACAACAAACCGCCTCTCTTTCTATCTCAATCCGGGTCCAGCTACCACTCTTTTCCTTCCTAGCCAAACTTCCTCACTCTAGGCCAGCCCCCCAGAATCACTGAGAGCAGGCTGTCAAACCCTCAGATGCAGAGTGCCACTTCCATGGTCTCATTGTTCTCAACCTGCTCATCAGTAACTGCTGGGTCTCATGCCAGAGCTCCAGACCTGAGTATCCATCTGCCTTCTGGACACACTCCCACCCCCTGGGAGTCCCACAGATGCTTCAGCCTCAATATATCCTCATGTGACCTTGTCTTTTTTCTCAATTCTTTTCCTCCCTCTGAGTCCCTGGATAGAGGAATGGTGTCTACTCAAGACAGAATGCCACCACTGTACCCTCATCCTTGCCCTCCTTGCTGTCCTCAGAAATATATGTTGAAGGGCTAGGGGTCATCTCAATAGTAGAGCACGTTTAGAATGCATGAGCTCCCAGGTTCAATCTTCAGCATCAAAAAAAAAAAAAAGAAAGAAAGAAAGGTTGACTGTTGACAGTGGCATGTGGGTCCAGCTCCTCCTTATCTAACCTCTTGCTTTTCCTCACTCAGTGATCCCTAACTCCCACACTTCCTCTGATCTCAGGACTTCTGCCTGTGCAGTACCATCTCTATGGAACAGTCTTCTACTCTCCACTTGGCCCTCGGGACCAGCCCAGCCATCACCACTTCTAAGAAGACACCTCCAACAGTGTCTTAGTCATTTGTTATCTTAGTCCTCTGTGATTTCCTCCTTCCCTGTAACTCAGAGTGGAGTATAAAAGCCTAGTGGCCAAGAGGGACAATATTTCTGGTTCTCTGAGACAGATACCTGCAGATGGGCCTTGACTCGGGACACCACCTTATCATACTTGGATGAGTGCCACAGTGCCTTCAGGGGCCTGGGTTGGACCTGCTCCCGGCTGTGCTCCTGCTCTCTGAAGCGCCTCTGGATCTCCCTGATCCGCCTCAGGTTTTCTTTTTTGTGGTCTTTAGGGTCCTTTCCTGGGGAAAAGATGCTGCCAGGCTGTGCCCTACACATGGGCCCTGCAACCCAACATACACCAGACCACACACAGGTCCACACCTATTCTCTGCAGAAAGAACTCCCTGACCTCTCCATCTAAATTAGACCTGACACAAATACTCTATTTATATATCAGCTTTTTGTTTTGTTTTTTATTTTCAGACTGGTTCTTGCTAAGTTGCCCAGACTGGGCTCAAACTGTGATCCTCTTGCCTCAGCCTCCCAGAAAATACCTCCTGATTATTTTCTACATTTTTACAGTGAAGTATGCCATTAATCATATCAGATATTAATCTCTTCACTTGTTTATTGCCTCCCATTTGACTTGATGGTGGCCAACGCTTGTCTTTAACTCTATTCCTAGCACCCACAGGACTTGGTGTACTGTAGGCACTCAATAAACAACATTTCATTGATGCATGGATGCATAAAGAAAGCTAAAGCTTCATGTGGACTACGTCATCCAGTCCTCTTCTTTTCTTTTTGGTACTGGGGATCAAAATCAGGACCTTGTGCTTGCGAGGCAGGTGTGGCACCACTGAGCTAAATCCCTGGCCCCCAGTCCTCTCTTTTAATGAGGTAGTGAATTTCTCTCTCTCATATTGGGGAAACAGACCCAGAGGAGCAATGCCTGAGCCCTGGTCTACCCCTCACCCCCCCACCCCGCCCCGAGTTGAGACCTCATTATGTTACCCATGCTGGGCTTCTGACAGAAAGAATCCTCCTGCTACACAATCCTAAGGGCTGAGACTACAGGCATGCATCAGCCATCACATCTAGCTTGATCAATTTTTTTTTTTAGACAGGGTCTTGCTATGTATTTCAGGTTGGCTTTGAACTCACTGTGTAGCCCAGGCTGGCCTCGAATTCCAGCCTCAGCCCTGAGAGTGCTGGGATCACAGGCCTGTTCATCACACACAGATTTTATCTCAGTTTTTGACATCTGACTGCCTCACCACAGCTCTGGCTGAGACTTACTCTTGGGAGAGGCCCCTGGACCAAGGGAGATGCCCTCTAATTGCAGCAGCAAATCCCCCACACCATGCTGGCCTTGCTCCAGGATCTCTCGGGCTCCAGGCCTAATGCGTGGGCCACGCAGAGGTATGTCGTCCAGGTCTCGGTCCGAGGTCAGCAGGTCCAGCTTCAGCGCATTTCCCTCAAGGCGCCCTTGAGCTGAAAGGCGGGGCGGGAGGAGCGTAGGGCTTAGTGGTGAAGCAGGTGCCTCTCCCTGCTGAGGTATCCCCCAACTCACCCGAGGCCGGCCACTGGTAGTAGTCAGGGCATAGCGTGGGATCTGGAGGGATGGGCCCGGAGATGCGGGAGGGACCCTCGCACATGTCTACGTCGCTGACCTGCAAAGGTGCACCGAGGCCTGCCGTGCCGTGCATTTCCAGGCCGGACACCCTTTCCCAGTCCCGACCCCCTCTCTCGATGAACTCTTCAGCGATGCCATGCCCCCATTACCTGCCTTCTCTCTGTACCCCGCCCCTGGGTCTGGCCCTCGTTTGCTGCCTCTGCGACCTGGATCCTAGCCCACTTCTCCGCCGGTTCACAGCCCCCTCTCCCGCAACACCCGGCGGGGGCTCACTGGAGTAGTTTTGCGGCCAGCTTCCACAACCCAGTGGGAGTTGCTGTTGCCAAGCAACAAATAACTTCCGTCCCTGAGGTCAGGGATCAATGACCCTGGTGAAAGGGCTTCTGGGACTTGTAGTTCCAGCTGAGGGTGGGCAGAGGAGCCACTGGTCTCCCCAGCTCAGTCCTTGTCTCCCTTCTGGTCTCCCCTGTCAGCGAAGGGTTCACCAGTCCTCTCTTCGAGGTCCACTGCCCCACCCCAGCAACCATCGAGGATACGCTGATCTTGTGCAGCCATGGTCTCAGCAGAGGGCAAGAAATGCCCAGGGGCCCAGGAGGGGTCAGCCGTAGGGCAGGCCCATGTCACAGAGGTACGTTGTGGCCATGCTCAGAGGCCTGAGGTGACTGAAGGTCAGGCCGACTAGCCATCAAATACTTGGTCACGGAACTCTAGGGGCCTGACTGACCCCGCCCCCTAACTGCCAGGCCAGACCCTACAGGAAGGAAGGGGCCTGGGCTGATGCCCTTTATACTGTGTTTGGTGGCTAACGTTGCCTATTGAGTGACTGACCCCTACATCCTTCAACCGTTTATGGTAACTAATTACTTACGTGTCACCTCTAGTGTACAGTGGTGACAGGAGATCAGTGCCTGGTTCCAGTGCAAGAGACCTGCAGGACCCAGGATGAAGACAAGCGTCCAGCAGGACACTGCTCAGAGCCAAACCACCAGGAAGAAGGGCTCAAGCAGGAGACCGGACTAGAGCCAGAGGCAGAGGCAGGAGAGGAGAAGGGGCCCAGGCCTGTGGGCATCACTGAGAGGCCCAGTCATGGGCTGAAGAAGCCAGTCAAGTTGAGGGGGCTTTCAGAGGGAAGGAGCTACAGGGCTGGGGGATGGGCCCTACACCCCCGGATTCCTAAATTCTGCACGGAAGATTCCTGTCCCCCTGCAACTACCAACACTGTCACCCCTTGTGTTCCTCCAGACCCCTGGTGTAAGGAGCACTAAGAGATGAGCTTCCAGGTCTTGTAGGGCACTGAGCTCACATGAACTCATGGGTCGGTATCAGTCCTGGGCTTCATTGACCAGGAAAGGGATGGCTGCTATCTAGCCCTGGGGTTGTGGGCAGGCATGGCAGGTTTCTGGGCTCAAAGTACATGACCCAGAGGCTGGGGATTTTGGCGCCTGCTGGGCAAGTGCAGGGACCCGAGTTCGATCCCCGGTACCAAAAAAAAAAAAAAGTACATGACCCAGAGATTGAAGACTGCCTCTTCAGGGCTCTTGTCCCTGGCCCTAGTCCCCCATCCTCCCAGGGCCTAGCCACCATGTTCATCCTAGGACTGAAGCTAAGCTGCCACGAGGGACACTGCTGCTGAAGAGGGAGGAGCCTGAGGGCAGTCAGAATGAGCCCTCACCATCTGCCAAACAGCACAAAAAAGCCAAGAAACGCAAGAGTCTGGGGGCTCCTGTGCTCCCAGCTGTGGCCAGCACAGTGTGTGCACCCCCAGAGAAGCTGGAGAGTGAGTAGCATTCCCCGGGCCTTCCCCTCTGTTGGCTGAATCTGACATGGAATAGCCTAGTGCTCCAACCCCTACTCTGCCCTGGGTCTTTGCAGGAAAGGCCCAGCGCCTGCGGCCACTGTACCAGTACATCAGCTATTGCAACCCTGAGCTGAACCAGGCAGAGGAGGGGATCAGGGAGATAAAGGTGGACCCTAAGTTAGAGCTGGCCCTGGTTCCTGAGGAGTTGAGTGTGAAGCAGCTGCAGGCCTTGCTGCCCACAGCAGGTGAGCAGAGCTTAGGCCTTGCTTTGCCCTGCCCCAGTGCATTAGCGCCACCTACCCCTGCTCCAGCTCCCCTGGGCGAGCAGCCTGGGGGTTTGCCCAGCCTGGGGGTGAGTGGCTGTCTCAAGGCCGAAGTGGATAAGTCAACTCAAGTAAACATCGACAAGATGCTGAGTGTCTGTGCTGCTCCCCTTGTGCCCCCACTGTCCCCTCAGTACAAGTGACTGTCGCTTCCTGGGGGTTTCCCTCCTTCCAGGCCTGAACCAAGCCTCAGTCTTTTGGCCTAGAAAGTCATGTGGAGGAGGGAATTCAGTCTCTGTACCCACTTGGGAACATGGGCTTGCAAAAAATAAACATTTTTCCTTTTCTAAGACTTTGGTTCTCCACATAGGAAAGAGGCTGGGAAGAAGGGTGGACGTTTGAAACCTGACTGGTCCTGTCATGGCCAGGGAACTTAAAAAATAGATCTGAGTTAGGAATGGGGTGAGACAGGTATGAGGCCTGCTTCTATGAATTTAGTCTTGCCTGAATCTGAGGGTCAAAGAGGCTGGCCATGAAAGGTGAAGAGGGAGGTGAGTAGGGAGAACTTGGGGCAGAAAAAAAAGGTCATGGGAAGCAGGTGTTTGGCCCTGCTCTCTGCCTTTCATAGAAGGCCCTGCATTCAGCCTGACCTGAAGGGGACTAATACTGGGATCCCCCTCTGAGGCAGCAGAGTATATCTGACTACTGCTCCAAAAGTGGCCACTGTGGAATGTTTGCCACTCATTTCCACAGCACAGATGGACCAGTCCTTGCCCCTGGAGTTGGGGCAAGGTGTCTTTTTTCTGGCAGGCAGAGGGGTGGTGGTGGTAGTAGTGGTAGCAGTGAATGTACTCCCTGGAGCCTGTGCCAAGACATCAGATGACTGTTGCCTCTAGCCCTTGGGGTCTCTGGGAAGAGCTGGCCAGTGCTGGCTGTGTGGCCATAAGCCTCCCAGTTGTCATGGGTGTCTCATACTTCAAACGTAGAGCATTCCAAATTAGATAAGTAACTTTCCCTCTCTCCAACCTGGTTTTCCTCCTGTATCTCATCTGTACAGTTATTTGAGCCAAAATCCTGGTATCACCTCAGACTCCATCCTATTCTTTGCACCCTGACTCCTACCAGCCAATTGGCTATCAAAGCCAGTGAATCTGCCCTCTCAGGCCCCATGGTCAGCCTCATTCCTGGCTGATGGCCATTTCCAGGTAAGAATTTCACTGTCTCTGACTGTAGAGCCTGGGCCCAGGTCTATGCAGTGACCCTGACACACACACCTGTGCCTCTGATGGCATTATTGTCCCCTCTAACTCCTTGCTTCCCTTGCTGCAGCAGCCTCAGAATTTCTCAGTGGCTGCCTGTCACTCCCTAACCAGCCACATCTTATCTTACCTTCACTTTCTGCACAAGGCTTTCCCTAAAATGCCTTTATCCTCTTGCCCCTCCTCCTGGCTAGTGCACCCTTTCCCTGGACACCACGGGCAGCCTCATCCTGCTGAGACAGGCAGCACCCAGTGTTGTACTGCATTGTAACATCTGCACACTACTGTCACAGGGATTATAACTGTCTTTGCAACTGGGCATGCATCACTGTATCGCACCCACCTAGCAGAGGTCTCCCTTAAAAGGCACCATTGGTACCCAGGGAGACCAAGGTGAGGGATGCAGGCTGTGGAGGACAGATCAGAATCTGAGGGGCCAGAGATTTAGCTCAGTGGCACCATGCCTGCCTAGCAAGAGCAAGGTCCTGATTTCGATCCCCGGCACCCCCCCCCAAAAAAACCCCCAAACAAACAAAGAATCTGAACTGGCTGAAGCTATCTGGAACCAAATCAGCAGACCTGGAATACTGGCCTGACTTGGTCATTGGAGGGGTGAGGTTGGCAGGCCCAGGTGGAAGAGGATGAAAATGGGAATCTTCTCAGGATGCCAGTGGGGACTACTTGGATGCTCACTGGCCTCACAGCAAGGCCATAGGGAAGCTGTGGGGTCAGGACATTTCTCCCTCTTTCTGCCTACAGCCTGGGTAGTGATATGATCATCCCAGGAGCCATGAAGACTGAATCTCATCCACGGAGACAAGCAGATTTTTGTTTCAAAGCTAAATAATGGAGTTTGACTTCCTCACTTTGTGGCTGAGGAAGCAGAGGCCCGCAGAAAAGCAGCCTTACAAGAGATCACCAACTGGGGGCTGGAAGGCCCTGGCCTCCTGAATCCCACACTCTGCAGACCTGAAGGCTCTCTAAGGCCTGACCCAAGAAGGCTGAGCATCTGTTCTCTCTGGGTGGTGACTGGGGGTTGGTGTGGCAAGGCCATCACAGAGGAGAAAGCTCTGCTCCTGATCTCCCCACAGGTGAGGCAGGAAATAGTGTTCAAAGAGAGCTGGTCTACAATTTCTGAGGCCTATTACCCATAGGCTTGTCTCAACAGGAAGAAACAAGTCTCTGAAGCTCCTGGAAGCTCACCATAAGGGAAAATTCTGGGGCAGCATAATTCAAGTGGACATGTGGGACCACAGGTAGTGGGATAACTGCCACTTTACTTAGGGGACAAGTGATAATGAGGCAGCTTTTCAACTACTCCTGAAGGACAGAACTGCTGCCTTCCAGGGTGAGGAAAAGCCAGAGATGACACCCTGCTGGTGTGGAAGATGCCAGTCCTACACAGGAGGGCTAGAGCGTGGCCGATGCAGATGGCACGGCCATCAGGGGTGCAGGCTGGGCAAGTCTGGGGGTGATAAAGAGGGGTCTGAGTTGGAATCTTGTGAAAGGGCTGCATGGACAGCTGTGTGAAGGGGAGAATGGGGGAGACACAGGATGGAAAGATGAAGCAGCAGCTGCCAGGTCTGGATGTGAGGTGTAGATCCTGTTGGAGGTTGGTGACTATGCAATGGGTAATTTTGGAAGTTCTTTTCTGGTTGCTATTTCAGAGGGGGAAAGTGAATTTTAAAAAAAAAAAAAAAAAAAAATGCGAATTGCATTTTCACTGGCTAGAAAAACTACTATGATCTTTATTTATTTATTTATTGGTACTGGTGATCAAACTTGGGTCCTTGTGCTTGCGCAGCAGGCGGTGAAACCACTGAGCTAAATCCCCGGCCCCCAAAACTACTATGATCTGAGGAAGTGCAGTTAGCATCTTGAGATTTGGAGACAGGTCCTGGAAGATGCTGTCATTCTCCAGGAGGGGGCGCTGCATGACAAGCCAGGAACCAATTTTGGGCTTAAATTACCACAGGCTCCCTGGGTCACAAGCATCTGGTCCATTTCAGGGCCCAACTCTCCTCCCCATTCCCAAACTGGGACCAACAGGCACTGATGCCCGTGAGATACAGAATGGGAAAGATCTCAGGGGGTTGTGGGGGATGAACCTAGGCTCTGGGAGATGTGCTCAGAGGACCTAAAAGTAGGTCTGCACTAGGCCCACCGCAATGTGCTCCAGCACTTGGAGAATCAGTCTCTGTAAACAAGAGTCCTCCAAAACCTAACTTTATTTTTTGGTACCGGAGATTGAACTCAGGACCTTGGGCTTTCAGGGCCCAAAACCTAACTTTAGCCACTCTGGATCAGCAATATTGCCCTTTCTTATGTAGGAGCATCTTGTATTTTCATGGTCAATTCCCAAATTAAGAAGACTTTGGGATCCTCGAAACAGTCTGATCTGAAGCTGAGCAGAGCTGAGCAATCCAGGAACAAGAGATAACCCTCCTTTAACTGCCAAAGTCCAGCCTGAGAATAGGCTCTCTGAGTTCCCCTCCCAGCTGCAAGAGGGGCAGTGCCTAGGTACCTGGGAGATTTCTGAGTGCTGGGATCAAGCACAGGTCTCAGTCAGATGCTGCAGTCAGATGGTTCTGACCAAGCTCCTGGATCCCATCAATTACAACCCACGAGAGGTAACTGTGCCCCGCCCCCACGCCTGTTTTCTGATCTGAATAATGAGCCTATTAATAGTACCTCACTAGAGTGGTTTGGAGATTAAATAATATGCTTAAAGTGTTTACCTAGGGACCCAGAATGCTGTAAGTAAACTCCAACACTAGCCCGTATTTTATGTTCATATGGATAAGGCATGAAAACAGGACAGTGCAGGAAAACAAGCCTGGTGACCTCTATAAGGGCTGCCAAGAGGAAGAGGAAGCTCTCCCTGAGCTTTTCTGGCCAGGAGCTCAGGGCAGGAAGAGGGAGGAAGGCTAGAAAAGGACAGTTTGTCCAGGCTTCACAATCCAGCAGCTGGCAAAGGAAACAAAGGGGCAGATGTGTCCTTTCTCAACACCTCACCCACCTCTGACTGAGGTAGCTAAAAGGCTGTGTTGTGCCTATCTGGGACAGTTAATAAGCATGGCTGGTGACTGTCTAGCTGGGTCAGGCAGAGCCCAGTCAAATTTGTGCCAAGGGGCAGTGAGTCTTTTGTCCTCAAACTTGTTCCCTTGCCAGGGCCCTCCTGGAGCCACACCATGTTTTCATGTTTTTGTTGTTGTTGTTTTTTGGTACTGGGGATCGAACTCAGGACCCTGCACTTTCGAGGCAGGCACCAGAACCACTGAGCTAAATCCCCAGCCCTGCCACACCATGTTTTCAAGAACAGAACCCTCCTGATGTCCAGCCCAGGAGGCCCTAGGTTCTCACCTACCTGCCTGAAATGGCAGGCCCAACAGCATCTCATCAAGAAACATCATGTCCTGCCCTCGGAGCAAACATTTCTTTGGAGGACTCCTGGGGCTTGGCCATGCTGAAGATGAGGGGCAGGGAATGCCAGGAGACTATGTGACCCAACAGATGGTGTTGGATCCATAGTAGGCTCAGAGCTGCTGTGCATTTGTAAGGAAAGATAAAATCTACAGCAATAAACAAGCCTTTCACTATTAAAGAAACCCAATCACCAAATAAAACACATGCCAAGATGTCACATTTTCTGATTTATAGTGACATTTATCAGATGTTTTATGGCTCTCCTTGTCTCCTCTTTGCCAAGTCAGGGGCCCTCTGCCTTATATTAACAGCCCCCAAGAGCTCACTAAATACCGAAACCCCTCCTCCCTGAAGGTCAGCCTGGTACTGTCACATGGGAGGACAGTTGAAGATCCCTGAGGGATGACTTGTCTCACCACTCCTGAGATGCCCCAGGCCCTCAAGAAGGGCATGAAAATAACCAGGCTTCTTGTCATTTCTCCTCAGACCTCAGCCCACATGGCTCTTTGCTGGGCTTTTTCATCCTATCAGATCACAAGTCAGGCTGAAGAACCCCCAAGTTGGGCTTTCACTGGTCCTGTTCACTAGCAGAGCCATGAAGAGGCAGGGCAGCAGCTCCGCCCTACACATAATGCTAGCCTGGGCTATGGTAGTAGGTGTGCTCACCGTCCTGAAAGTCTAAGGAGTAAATGAATGGATGGAAGGGGAGATTTCCCTGGGCCACTTTCAATTTTCTCTCTGCACTAGTACAAGCTGATTTATTAAATGCATGACACTGTCTCTGCCATGGCCAGCTACACCTCCATCACTGCTCCCTCCCTGATCCCTGTGGCCGGGAGCCCATCTGCAGGCTTATAGGTTATTCCGCTGAAGTGCTTCACACAGGTTCTGGTTGGCATCAGGCTCCTCTGTCAGAATCTCTACGGTCTCCCACTCCCCTGATCGGCTTGACCTCTTGATGGCATCCACCACACTCTGCATGTAGAGCCCATCCTCGAATGAGGCAGCCATGGAGACAGGGGTGCGATCCCAGGTGCGGCGGTCCCCCTGCCCCTGGAAGGACTGGCGCAAGGCCTGCACCATGTAGACCATGCCCTTCAGGTAGAGCAGCGGGACATCCTGGGGCCTCTGTTCGGGCAGCCCTGAGCCCATGGCCAGTGAGTCTCTCACTAGCAGCTCCTCTTGTGTGGCAGAATTCTTTTGCCCATAGAGGTCAGCTCCCCGGGCGACAAGGCGCCCTGAAGAGCCCACAACCATGACTTCATGCACAAAGGCACCAGGCATGTTGAAGTTAAGTGTCACTGTGCTGCATACTCCTCCACCCATGAGCATTTGGAAGAAACAGAAGTCATCGCTGGTGACATGCCGGATGCCTCGGATGGCAGCATTCTGCCTCACGAAGGTCTTGAGCAGCCCATGGACCTTCTCAGCTCTCCTGCCAGTCAAGTGGGTCAGCAGGTCCACGATGTAGGTGCCCATGGTATGCAGGCCCCCGCCACCCATGAGCTCATCACAGATCCAGCCATAGCTGGGGCTGAGCAGGCTGCCTGAGTAGATGCGGGCATCACAGATCATCACTGCGCCTACATAATGCTCTGCAATCAGCTGCTTCATGCGCACGAAGGCAGGCAGGAAGCGCAGCACATTCCCCACCAGGCTCATCAGCTGTGGGTAGTAGCGTGAAGCTGTCACCATCCGGAAGGCATCCACCGATGTTGCTGCCTTCTCACAGACCACATTCTTCCCAATACCTACAAGTAAGGCATAAAGGGAAATCTCAAAGTACAAAGGGACTTACATGAGGGAATATTTTTGGGGGAATTGAACCAAGGGGCTTCATACTGAGCTACATCCCCAGTCCTTTGGAAAATTTTAAAATTTTGGGATAGGGTCGGATAGGACTTATAAATCTTCCCGCCTCAGCCTTCCAGAGTGCTGGGTTACAGGCATGTGTCACTATGCTAAGTGGGAAAAACTTTATTGTTCCAAGCAGATGGAGCCAGGAAAGCCTCCTCACTTTAGACTGAAAACAGTCCAGTGACTAGACTGCAGAGGTATGGGTTGGATAAAGAGGAGCAGCACCTCCCCCTAGCTCACCTTACCACTGGCCCTGTACTAAGGATTAAATTCAAGGCCTTTGCACTGAGCCAAATCCCCAGACCTTTTTTATTTTGAGACAGAATCTTCCTAAGTTCCCCAGGCTGGTCTTGAACTTGTGATCCTACCTCAGTGTGCTGGGATTATGGTGCCAGAGTTTCAGAGGAATATGTTCTTTTTTTTGGTACCAGGGATCAAACTGAGGACCTTGCACTTGTGAGGCAGACATAGTGCCACTGAGCTAAACCCCCATCACTCTTTTCTTTTTTTTGGAGACAGGGTCTCACTGTGAGTTTAGGCTGAACTTGACCTATTGTCCAGGTTGGCCTTGAACTTGTGGTAATCCTCCTCTCAGCCTCTCAAGAGCTGGAGAGGAATCAGTTTTTTGTGGGGTTTTTTGTTGTTTTTTTTGGTACTGGGGATTGAACTCAGGACCTTGCGCTTGCGAGGCAGGCGCCAGAACCACTAAGCTAAATCCCCGGCCCGAGGAATCAGTTTTTAAGGGACATGTAGAGTTGAGGCAGAAAGCGACAACTCAGGGCTGGGAACTGAAGAGGGGGGTGACAATTTCATGTGTCAATTCAGATAGACTATATAGGGCCCATCAAACACCGGTCTCAGTGTTGCTATGAAGTGTTTCTAAAGATATGATTAACATTTAAATCAAGAAAGTTGAGGTGGGCACGGTGACGCATGGCTGTAATCCCAGTACTCAGGAGGCTGAGACATGAGGATCTCTGTGAGTTGGGGGATAGTATGAAATACATAGTGAGACTCTGTCTCAAAAAAACAAAAACAAAACAAAATAAAACCAAAAAACAAACCACAGAGTTGAGCAAAGCAGATTATGTTCCATAACGTGTATCAGCCTCATACAACCAGTTTGAAAGACTTAAAAGCCAGGTCATCAGAACCAAGACTGCAACACAGATCTTTGCCAGGATTTCTACCATGCTCACCTGTCCTGTGGATTTTGGACTTCTGAGGCCTCATAATTATATGAGTCAATTTCTTAAATGTCTCTCTTTCCATATCCTTTGGATCTGTTTCTCTGGAGAACCCTGACTAATACAGGTAAGCTGGGGAGGCAGACATGTGCCATGGACATGTCTCTATACTGCTAGGCATTTATTAGATCATCAGCCTGGGCTAAGGCCAGTCTACATTCTAAGAGATGGGCATGGCACTTAGTTCTAACTCCAGAGAAGTCTCTAAATCTACTACTGCAGGTTGTTCTCTGAAAACAGTGGTCCAACAAGTTCAAGTGGTCAAAAGGCCAGAAACCACTTGTCTCTGTAGCTGGGTGTCATGGTATATGCCTACAATCCCAGAATTCTGAGAGGCTGAGACAGGATAATAGCAAATTCTAGCCTAACCTGGGTAATTTTGGTGAGACCTTGCTTCAAAATAAAAAAAGGGTATGGTGGCACATGCCTATAACCCCAGCACCCTGGGAGGCTAAGGCAGGAGGATTGCAAATTTGACCCCACCCTAGGCAAATTAGTGAGACTCTGTCTTTAAATAAATAAATAAATAAATAGATAGATAAATAGATGTGCGTGTGTGTGTGTGTGTTTGTGTGTGTAGGGGGGATGTAGCTCAGTGCAAAGGTCCCTAAATTCAATCCCTAGTGCCACACAAAACAAAACAAAACAAACAAAACCCTTCTTGCCTCTGGTAAAAGGAGAAAGGAAAACAGTTTTTCTGGGTCTACTGCATCTGGAATGCACTCAGAACAAAACAAGGCAGACAAAGTCCCAGAGAGTAAGCCAGAAGGCGGCTCAGCTTCCCCATGAGCAAATGGAAAGGCTCAGCCCTCCTCCAGGTTTCAAGGTGAAAGCACGGGAAGCTATGTGCAGCCGCAAGACACTGACACCTGGGTTGTTCCTGAGTTTAGGCTGGCTCAAGTTGAAGGAAATCCTATGTGAATAGCTTCAACAGAAAACTTAGAAAGTCCAAGAAGCAGTATGGATGAGACACAAGTTTACAAGTCATAGCGAGCTGGGGAAAGTGAAGATGCCATTTCTCATCTACAGACACTGCCTGTGGTGGGCCACTCAAACCCTGCTACCTCAGTTCTCGCCCCAAGGCACTGGTTTCTTCAGCTTAAAGGTTAGTGGGAGTGCAGAACAACTCTTCATGCAGGTGGCAGGATCCAGGGAGGCTTCACAGGGGATGACACTGGGGTCATCTTAAGTGAGCAGGCATTCCAAGGAGCAGAAGGAGCAAAGGGCATCCAGAGAGGACAAAGTCACAGCAGCAAGAAAAAGCCAAGAGTTAGGGTTCTGAAGTGCTGGGTACATGCCAGGAAACACATGGCAGGATTACACAGAACCTATAAGCAATGTGGGAAACTGGATAGATGGTCAGCAGTATCACTTCCCAAGTCAGTCAAGGCAGAGGATGTGCCATGATGTGGGGCTCTTGACACTCCTTTCCTTAGGGAGTCCTCATCTGTTTCTTCAGCCAAAATCATTCCCAACCCACTTACTTACTTTCTTTCTTTTTTTTTGAGATAAGGTCTTGCTATGTAGCTCAGGCTGGCCTTAAACTCACTATGTAGCCTAGGGAGGCCTTAAATTTGTAGCAATCCTCCTGTCTCAGCCTCCGGAATTCTGGGATCACAGGCTTGCCCCAGCACATCTAGCTCTACTTTCACTTTCAGTAAATCCTGGTGGTTTAGCCTCCTAACTACATCTAGAAGCTAATGTCTCACTGCCACCTTCCTTGTCCAAGACACCAATGTTTTCTGCCTGGATTATGCAATGGTCACTTAATTGGTTCCCCTGCTTCTGCCGAGCAGTTCTGTTCTCCCTTGTGCTCCCCACCTTGATGTTGTGCCTCACACAGGCCCAAAAGCAAGAGAGCCAGCCAACAACGGACTGAAACCTCTGAGACTATCAAGCCAAAATAAACTTTTGTGCTTTTTATATTGTTTAACCCAGCTATTTTGCTCTAGCAATAGAAAGCTAACACAAAACCTAAGCTGGATCAGATCATCCATACAAACCTTCCTTTACATAAAGCCCCCCAGTGGCTTCTTATCCATTTAGAATAAAAGCCCAAGTCCTAACAGTGGCCTACTCATAAGACCTCAACCTATTATCTGAAGACTCCTCCAAAATTTGCTTTTTGATCTCCTGTCTATCATGGTCCTCACCTGCTCACCATGCTCGAGGCACTGAAGCAGATGAGGCCCTCCTGTGCAGGGGGGACTGCCGTTGTGGAGCAGCAGTGACTCTGACACTGGAGGACAGACAGGCAGGGCTGAGGCCCATAGAGCTCAGCACAGGCTTGCTCTGGACCAACTTGTGCTCTTCTGGCTGAAGACCATCTTGAATAATGTGTGCACCCAGCTTCCCCCTGCACCATCCAGGCTCCCTTCCTGCATTCCACAGGCAATTCCTGGAGGGAGCAGCTCTAAGACTGGAAGCCCCAGATCCAGGGCCACTGAGCCCAGACTGTGCCTTCTCTAGCTACATGCACCCTTAATAAGCCCTTCAGAGGGGCAGTGGCTGGGGCAGAGATGATTTCAGATGGTTCACTGCAGGTGCAGCTTGTCTAGACGGACTCAGATGGGTTCTGTTCTCACAGGCTCAGCAAGGGAACTCATCTGACCATCTTGCCGCAGTAATAATGATTACCATACAATAAATATTGCTACAAAAAGAAGAAACTATAATTTTGATGTTTCACATGATGGCTAGGCCCAGGACAGGTGACTGCCCCGCCGATTATTAGTGCTAAACTTAAGTGTTGAAGCCAGAAATTTCTGTGGTCAAAAATCTCTCATTTCTGGAAATGTAAACCAGTGTTTTCTTTCCCTTCTTTGTGCTACTGGAGGTTGAACCCAGGTCCTTCACACTGAGCTACACTCCCAGGCCTTTGTTTTACTTTTTATTTTGAGGCAGGGGCAGCGTCTTGCTAAATTACCAAGGCCAGGCTCAAATTTGTGATCCTTCTGCCTCAGCCTTCCAGAATGCTGGGATTACAGGTGTGCACCACTGTGCCCAGCCTAATTTTTTGTTCAGGGTGGGCTCAATCTTGGTATATTCCTGCCTCAACCTGAGTGCTGGAATTATAGGCGGGTGGCACCATGCCTGGCTGATCAAAAATTATATGCACACAGGGGAGGGGAACGGGATACAATTAAAAAAATTATATGCACGTATGAAAACACATTGAAATGGAATAGTTTTGTAAAATAAATAGGCACTAATAACAAAAAATAAAAAGAGGGCTCTGGATGTTGCTCAGTGCAAAGGCTCTGGGTTCAATCATTAGTACCAAAACTAAAACAAAAGCAAAAACAAAAAGACTTGCTTCATTGCTAAATGACCGGATATTTTTGTGAACCTCTTTGGACTTTGGTTTACTACTACTATAAAATGAATCCTATCTACTTTGCAGGGAAGAATGACTGAATCTCAACTAAGGCAGTGTATGTAAAGTGCCTGGTCTAGCACAGCTCTGTCAACAGTGCATTTATTACCAGCATCATGGGAGAGGCTGTGCAGCCATCACAAACAAAAGAGCAAAAAGGGCCATTGTGATTCAGATTTTAAGACTCATGGAGAAGTAACATTCTACATCCAAGTATTTTCTGTGTTCAGTACCTTATAAATTTGATTTTTGAAAAAGATGTTTAAAAAAA